CATTTAGAAAATAATGCTTATGAATGAATGAAATCATTGGAATCTATTGATAAACTTCAGTTGAAGAATAGTACAACGACAAGAAACATACATGATTAGTATTTATTAGACACTTTTTACTTTCGAGAAAGACTCATTCTCTTCAATACTTTTGGTGATAATCGATTCATATTAATGTTTTGTCTAGATTATATTATTTATGGATCACCAGTAAAACATACAAACATTCGAGAATGTCTCGAAAATAGACAAGGACAAGGTTAATGCTGAGATCTACTCAAGTTAATTTGTGAATATTAAATATTGTTCATGTTTTCTAATATTCAAAGAAATATACTTACATTAGCTGTAGACCCAAAATATATATTTAAGGCAGTGTATGGATTCAGAAGATGGTTATTCTCTAAGATTCTTAGAGATGACGTCGAAATCTATTCACTGCTTGTGTCAAAATTATTGTTTTCTTGAAATTTCAATGTACCTCTTCGGAAGTGAAAACCTGAATACAGCAATGCTCTCAATAGACACTGTCTATTTGGAATACGATTTTCTACTTTTAAGATATTCAGGAATAGTGGATTTTCTACAGATATGCTTTGTTCCAAAACAGAAAGTTCTCCTCTATTGAGACGCTTGATGTTGTTTTAGATTCAGCTGCTGATTCTGTCAAATTAGATACCTACTGTAAAAGTCTGCTAAAGGGTCTAAAAGAAGATCTTAATTCTTGTTTGATACTGCTTAGAAGGCTTCCCGTCTCTCAGATTAGAGATGTACAATGTAAGCTTTTTCTTGTTCAAAGAAACAGGATGGGACAAGTTAAAACTTATAAGAAAAAGTTGTAAGGAAAGTAGACTACCGAAATATTTTCTATTGCAGACATCTATATTTGAATCATAATTGATCACTATTTAATCAAATTTCTAGTATTTAATTAAATTCATGTGTCGTAATCTCCACTAAAATGCTAGTAAGATATTTAACTCCTCGTCTTGATGATAATGTTGTACTAGGTAAAGACAAATTATCTACCATCAAATGAAAAGGTATAATACAACTTATGAGAAAAAAGGAGTATAATATGTGACATTGTTGAATATACGTAGATACTGTCTTTATACTTAGAATAATAATTTTTAAGTTGCTAGGAAAAACAAGAAGAAATGCTTTATAGAAGAGTAATTCAAGAGAAAAATTAATTACTTAAAATATTGAAAGTGTTCATTCTTTCAAAATAAAGCAAAATTTAAAAGAAAATAGTAAAATTATTCCTGCTAATGAAAATTATCCAAGAAGAAAAGCACATATATACACAAATTTAGGAGGAATATAATGGTAATGATTTATGGATAGTATTAAACATAAGATCATTAATCATAGTATTTTGTTATAATGAGCAAAATTTATATTGACTCTAATTTATAATAAACTCCTTTCTGAAATAGAAGAGATCAAGTCTTTTATCATCTTCAAACATACGAAGTCTTCAAGAGAATGAGTATCTTCTAATATGTCTCATTTATTTTAATAATTTTTAATAAGAAAGATTTTTATGAAAATCAAAACGATTTTGAAGATGTTGAAATTGAAAGAGTCATTCAGAGTTTCAAATGTTCATAAATAATGTTGATCTGAGTGTTTTAAGGTTTTAAGCTCAAAACTTTGAAAACTAGTAATATATTGATGTAAATATACTAATTAAGATTTTAATTTTTCGATATATTAAATAATGAAGGAAAGTCGAGATTCTATTACATCCAGCGCATCATATCTCCAGAGGGATGGTGTATTATTGGGAAGACTTATTAAGTTCCATCATTTTTCTATAACTACAAAAAGGTGGCCATTCTCCATTTCTATGATTATTTGTCACTAGTGTGTTTAGTTTAAATTCAATTTCATTTAGTTTAGGTAATACCACTAAAAGCTTCTCCAAAAGAGGAAAAAACAGCTTTCTCTCAATTACTTCATGTAATTTATTATTTATAAATAATGTGCAACAAAAAAAAACGAGAACCTATTTGTAGAAAAAACAACTAAGCAAAAAAATAATTTCATATAGGTAATGTTATATTCTGGCAGAAATATATAGTCAAGACCTCGATTCTATTAGTTAGTCGTTGCTAAATATTCATTGTAAACATGTTTTGTCAATTATTCAATAGAGTTAATCATGATTATCTAACACTTAAAAGAAGATAGAAAATAGAAAATGATAATAGAATAGGAAATAGATAATAAAGACAAAGTCACTTGATAAAATATAAGAATAAAATCTAAGATTAAGTTGTGATATATTAGTACATATTAACGAAGAAAACATCACAACTGATTCCTCATTTTCGAGATGATATTTAGTTCATAAAGAGAACTCAATGGAACTGAAAAATAGTCGAAAACGATTCATGTTTATAGTCCATAAGTCATAAGTTAGAGACATTTTTAGTCAGCTTTTGATTTCACAGAATATTCTCAAGATACTGATAGAATTTATTTTAAAATGCAAAAGAAAAGTAGATTGAAAGAGTGACAAGTATTTTTTTTTACAGATGCTATTTAGATTAAAATAGAAGTGAAGAATCTCAAATTAGATACAACATTTTAATTCAATTATTATAGTTAAACTTATTTTTCAGTGAGTTCTATTTGATAACACTTACATATACAAAAATCTCTAAATAAAAGTTTTAGTTTCTCTACTATTATGTATATATTTATAAATTGTCAGTTGTTAAAAAGCAAATTAACTAATTTTCTCAGAAAGAAAACCGATCGATTTATTCGATTAAAGGGGAATGTACTATCATTACATCAACATTCAAGTGAATACAATGAAACTCTCAAAATTTGAAGGAATTGTGTATGCAGGCAGAGCTCCAAACTCAAATGACAATTGAGAATCTTGGGAAGCGGTCTGCATGAGAGGAGCTGGATAAAGTTTCTCAGCCACACTGGGCTTTATCTAGCTGTTCTGTTTCAAATGAAAGGAGTTTGATAATTTTACCATCGATACTACTCTCTAAGATGATCATTGTTTGTACCGAACGTTTTTTCTTCGTGTTTTGTTTTTTGGAAAATCACTAAAGAAAAATATTACCAGTTTTCCGATAATAAAGTTTGTCATGAAATTTTATAGTTCCATTGGATAACACATTTTTTAAATATATCCTGATCATGGTATGTTCGGTATCTTTCAATTGACGGGAAAACGTCTATTCATTTCTCAATGACAGGCCATAGGAATATGGCAGAGCATAATGTCTCGACAATTGCAGACGAAATGTGATTTCAGAAACTTTTGCTTCTTTACAGCCGGGTGTTGCTAAATGACAACATCCCTATTTTTTATTGTTCGGATGTACTGAATAATCGCTCTTAGTGATACAGTATACAATAGATCTATGAAGAAAAATGATCCGCTAATTGCTTCTGAGATTGAAAGTTCAGATGTAGAAGAAAATAAGTTTTACAAATATAGACGCTCCTTTGATTCAATACGGATGGATTCAGCAATCTTTTCACTGAAAAGATTTTTTTTGTGTTTTATGAACCATGAAGATGTGCTGAAGTATGTTGTAGTAATTAATTATCGAATTGTCAAAAATTATATATTATCACTACAAGTCAACTCTTCACAAATATTAGCTAAATGTTGCCAAATAGCAACATCCGCTTAGAAAGGATTAATATGTCATAGTATATTTGTCATGTAGTGTCATACTATTTCCTACTGATTAAGTTTTCTAGCAAATGACTATTTCTGTGTTGCCATCTTTAACAAATAATTAAACTCGAAAACTAAACAATAACAATCAATGCGATTGATACAGACGTTTTGAGCGCACGCATAATAATGAGGGCGTGCAATTTTGACTGGAATCTAACGTTTTTCTAAGAGTTTAAAAACATTCATGCACTGAGATACAAAAAAAAATGAAGCAAAAGAACCACGATGTGAACGACATGGGATTTCGTGATCGCGATGCCTCAGGATTGTATCAATTGCTTGAACTGCTCATTAAGATGTGTAAATCCGTGCAAGTTCAATATATCGCTGAGGGCCTAGTTGAAGAGACAGCCGAAGATGTGGATCTTCTCTTCACCCATACTTCACCGTAATGACTTTGGGTCTGATAAATAATTTCTTTCTTTTCCATTTCTTGTTCTATAGAAATAAACGTTTCACATGATGAAACTTATAGATAAATAATTCGTTTTAGGAAGTTTTTCTTCTAAAATCATTTAGTTCATTTAGGTACAGAAGTAATTTTTATGTAAACATGTATTTATGAGTATGACTATTAAACATGAAGTTTCATAACAAGGAAACTGATATCTGAGAATTGCATTTTATTGAAAGAGAGACTAAGCATAGGCCTATTCATTCAAATATTTCATTTAAGAAAAAGAAAATTTCCATGTATACCCGCTTGATTGTCTACTGTGTTACTTAAACAGAACAAATACAAACTATATATTCAATTAATCAACATTAGAGTAATATATTCGATTAGATTTGACTAGAAATTTTCCAAATCCTCTAATCAATAAAACATTTAAATCAAACATTCCTCACATTATATTACATATTAATATTAAAACTGAAAATGTATCAGTATTTTATATTAAATATAGTCCTACATAATTGACAGAATCCTCATAATTATTATGCATCATAATCATCATACTTCAAAGGATACTATATAATTTTAAATGTAAAAAAGTTTTGTTATGTTTAGACTTATTTGTAGAAAACATGTAGATGTTTATATCATCTTAAATCAATATTCTTTATTTATAAAATATTTCTTCAAATCAAATGACAGAACAATAATATCATTCTGATCAAAAATCTTCACTGATTACTTGTTATCGTGATCTGATCAATCCAATATTAAACAATATTTATTATCTTAATTAGAAAAATTTATAATCTATTATATTTTGACAAGACTTTGTTTTAAATAGTACAGTTGCTTGAGTGCAATTCATACTCTTATTAATTATGCATATTCGTTTGCATTTTGTTGTATACGATTTATAATAGGATTCAATTGGTCTTGCATTTTGACATTTTGTTCCTTGAGTTGATTACAAACAGTAGTAAGATCATTTATGACAGGTAATAGTTGTTCAGTATGTGATTTTTTCTGAGTAGTTTGTAATTTTGATAAATGTATATTCCATCTATCTTGAAAATCATTGATCAAAGTTTCAAAATTACTAAAATAAGAAAAAAAGATTAATTATTAAGTGTATATATATATAATAATAATAATAATATTAACAATTTTTGTTCTTGTAATAAATCTGCGAGACGCTGTTCGTGTATAATCTGTTGAGGACATTTAGCAGCTATATGTCCTTCATTTCCACATTGATAACAGACTCTTGGCCAATTGGATCGAGTAGAATATTGTGCATATCTTTGTTGTGAAGACATCATATAAATTAAAAGTGAGACTACTATAATGTCGATGATCCATTTATATATACTTAGATAAATTACATACTCTTGATGCAATAAAAAAAAATGTAGGAATTTGCCAATGACACATTGATACGTTTTCTTTTCTATTGCAGCATAGACAGTAAAACTGACGTTTCGTTTACCTTTGAAAGAAGAGAAACAAAAAAAGAAATAGAATTGCACCATCACTATCGACAAACAGAATAAAGGAATATTGTCGTAGTGAATAAAAATCGGACAAGCCACAATTTCGAGTCTACTCCGTTTGAGCCAGAAGCAAGCTTGGATCATACGACTGTTCTATCTTCGGGTAGGACATTCGTCGACACGAAATTAATTCGACACTTGCCTTTTTGTTTTTCAAAATTCATTTGTTCTTCCATTATTTTTTTTGTAGGAGACACAAGTTGGGAATTGTCAGATTATTAGTCATCAATTATCAATATGAAAAAGATAATATTATTTCGAAAGTAATATTTATTATTGTATAATTTTATCAATGAGTATGTATACACATATGAATAATTTACTTTGTTGGAAATTTCGTTTTATCGTTCTATGATGAATCATTTTTTTAAAAGAAAATGAAAAATAACTGATATACATGAATCAGATGTTGATTTCATACATGTTGTATTAAAGTTTTTCTCCTCGATTTTTAATTTAATGATATTTTGAATCAATAGAAAAGTGAAACTTATTGAATAGTGAATTTAAAATACGTAAAAATCAATCACAAATCATATTTATTATTATATAAAATTAATTATTCATCTATTATTGATGAAAATATGATAAATGTAAACATAAAATAGATTGATAATAATCTTTTATATTTTGATTTTAAGAAAAATTTTTTATTAAGATTTTATTATTTTATTTCTAAAATTATAAGCGAAACGTTCTTTTGAAAACAGAATAATATATCTGACATCATAATACAAGAGAGAGAGAGAGAGAGAGAGAGAGAGACAGAGTAATCAAAGTTCTATTACATATAAAATACCTTTTATGCGTATTGATCCACACATATACACACCGAGTAGAAAATGAACGATGATAATGAAAGACAATTATCTAAACTCTCTCTTTTTCAAGTTTAATTAATTATTTATTGTATTTAATGGACTTCCTGTAAAGGCTGAATTTGTAAATGATGCTGAACCTGTTGGAATTATATGATCATAAATATAATGTTCAATATGATTTTTATTTGACATTTTTATTGAAGAACAAGATGATGTTGAAGAATATTCTTCATAATCAGGATTATTATTATTATTATTATTTTTTGAAATCTAAAATAAAATTAATTGATAATGAAAAAAAAAAAAATTTATTTCTTTTATGTTTTTTTTACGGTTTCATTAATTGAAATTGATTGACTTGTTATATCATCAAGTATTGATGTACAATTGTGATTATGATTATTATTTTTATTGATATTATTATTATTATTCCATGAATTAGTTATTTGTTGATCATGAATACTTGATTGAAAGGCATCAGAGATATTTTCAGAAGACATTTCTTGTCCTTTACCAGAATCAGGTGAATCACTTGACAAATCTTGTTGATTTAATGTTCCGCTTGTAGAAATAGAAGCGGTTAAAGTTGAAAATAATGATGGAAGAAGAAGTAAATCAGATGGACGTGATGGAAGACCCTAAAAATAAAAGTTTGGTTAATTATTTGAGAAAATAATTGAAGTCTGTAAAAACCAAAAAAAAAATTTCAAAAATCGAATATTTTCTAATTTCTATTTTTTTCTCAAAAGAACGAAAATTTTAGTTTTATTAAAATTACTTAATGCAAAAGAGTTATGAAAATCTATCTTTGAGAGTTGATTTTCATAATTATTTTTCTATATAGAAAATAACTTACACTAAGCTTAGCTAAATCTCAAATCGAGTTAGATGATTTATAGCAATTACTGACTTCAATTATCTTTTAAATTTCAACTATAAAAACTTTATATATATATGAATGGAATAGTTTAAATAGTTCGATAAATCAAAATTTCAAATCTTTATCTAAAAGAACAGACTTATAGAAAAACTAAGTCTTTCTAAAAATCTCTCTATTTGAATAATAATTTTTTTCGATGCTTAGTAAGAAAACGAAACTGATATTACTTCTACTGGACTGAAAAAAGAAACATATTTTGATTATGATTGCTTTCTATCATTGAACAGTCTGTGAAAGAATAACACAGAGATATTAAATGATTTGTCATTCAACCTTTTTGTTCGAAAATAAATTGACATACGACAATCAATATCTCATCATCATTACATATCGAAAGATATGTCGTTGAAAAAATTCTGTTGTTTACAATAAAAATATTCTCATTATATTTGACATGACAATTTGTTTATTTTATAATAAAGATAAAGTACCTTCAATGTTTTCAAATTTTCATTTTTATTCAACTTCATTTCAAGTTCACGTGTATAATTTAATAATTGTTGAATATGTGTTAATAATTCTCGATTTCGATCAATTAATTGTTTATTTTTCTTCTACAAAAAAACAAACAAATATTTATTTAATAAAAAATATTTTTAACGAAAGATGAAACATACTTGTGAATCAATTCTTGCTGCAATTTCAATATTTAATTGTTCTTTTATTAATTTAATTTGATTAAATGCTAATTCTGATTCATGTTGCATTTGTTGTAATTGTTCTTGCATAAATTGCATTTGATGTTTAAGTGTAAACTCACTTGATGAATAAGAATGAAGTACATTTCTTTCATTATTTACTGATGACTAAAATAATAATAATAATAAAACAAAACAAAACAAAAAAGTTATAGATTATTTTTCTTTTAAAAAAGAAAATTTATTTTCATTACAATTGGTATTTGAACACTTTGTAAATAACGTTCAGCCTTTTCTACTGAATCCATATTTGGTGCAAGAGTTGCTAAACAAAAAGAAATACAAAAACAATAATTTTAAAATAAAAGTTCTTCTATATTAAACGAACTATTTTCTTGATGAGAAAAATTTATATGAGCTGGACTAGATGTCAGAGTATTATTTGATATTTTTTGTAAAGATAATTTATGACAAACTTCAAAAGCTTGACCAATTGTACGAACAATATGAATTGCTTCATTCTAAAAAGAAAAATAATTAAATGAAAATTTTAATCCAAAAGAATAATAAAAAAAAATATAGTAAATCACGTTAAGAACAATTCAAAATATGTAATTTTCGGTCTACTTATTGCAAATTGATTCGCTCAATCCTATCATCAGCTTAGGCATATTAATAAAGAGAAAATATATCGAATGTATGATAAAAGATTATTTATTGATATGATATTTATTATATAAATAACCTTTAACTTTGCTTATAATTTATGTCTTTTTATTTAATAAATTATCAGTAATTATTTTTTTTTTATAAACGATGGCTACATATACAATGAAAGCATCGCCTAGTCTGAAGATTCGATAGACCTTTCTAGAAATGAAAATCTATAAAAGCACTGCAATGGAACAAAATAAAGCCAAAATGAACATATGCTAAAGCTGTTTATCAACTTTTATGTTTTATATTATACAGAAATCAAGGTAGCTTGATGGATTGGATTTCGATATTACCTTGATTTTTTATTATATATGTGTCTGACACTCGTCAAATGATAAATCTTACCTCATTAAATAATCTTTATTGAGATTCAAGAAAATCTAATTGGATTCGTGTCCATGGGTCTTTCTTCTTGAATTATGATCATTTTAATGATTTTTTTTCTTCAATAAAATGTCAAGACTTTTAAGCTCAAACTTTGTATAAAAAAAAATTTTCAATGGAACTAGTTCATTATAAAACCTATCAGATATTCTAATATCTCTTATTCTTAAAAAACAACATGAAAAATTCTATTATTAGAAAAAAAAAAAGGCAAAGTTTGTTCTTATATTTATATTTCAAGATAGGAAATATTTGAAAGTCGAACATTTTGAAAATGATTCATGGAGAAAGAATGTCATTCTATTGAAAAATACATCATACCGGAGAAAACAAGGTCACATAATAGATATGAGTTGATTATCTTTATTCTCAATAGGACCTATTTAATGATGTACGATTTATCTTAAAAGTAATTTTTGACTTGTCAAGGTTGACTCATGCGTTGAAATCTTGTTCGATATAATAAAATCATTTGTGCTATTTAGTATTGATAGAATCAAACTATATAACAGAATTCTAATCATTTCTTATTTTAGTTTTTCATAAACAAAAAAGTTTTTTTTTTTTTTTTCAAATATGTCAGAATCTTATAATCATATAATTCCTAATGATAAGCTAACTTGTTTAATGAATATTATTTTTTTTCATTTCATTTAGTGATTAGCAAAGAAAAAAGTATTTACCGTTTTATATGCTTTAAAGACATTACAACGAAATGCATTGGTAGTATTATCACGTGCTATAAAACTAAAAATTTTTAAATCTTGACTATCATGTGAGACATAAAAAACTCTAGAATACAAAACAAAAAAAAGAAAAATCAATGATGAATATATTTTAAATTATTTGTTTTTCTACCGATTAATTGGATGTTGTGCTAGAATATTTTTATCTTCATCAAAATAAAAATTTTTCTAAAAATAAAGTAGCAAAATTTCTTTTTTTTTTTTTTTTGTTTATAAATATTTATAATTTATATAACTTTATTTTTTTTTGATACAAAAGCTTGAATCCCATCAACAGATATTGATAGATTAACGGGACGTTTTTTAACTGATCTTGCTTTAAATTCATACTAAATTTAATATTATTTTTAATAGTAAATTTTAATTGAATTTAAGAACTTACACGAATACGACGCATATCAGCTACAATTTCACCACGACTTGTTGGCTTTGGTACTTCAAGTGATCCAATATACTAAATAAGAAATAGAAAAAATTTTTTTTTTTTTTTTTTTGGAAGAAATAGATCTTATAATATTAATTA